GGAGGCTCTGGCAGCTCTCCAGGGCCCAGTCCCACAGCCGTGCCAGGGAGGGCCCAGCCCAGCCAGGGGAATACACAGAGCTGCTCAGCCCCCTCCCAGCCACAGAGGAGTCCCTGGGGTGGGTTAGGAGCCAGCTCCTAAGACACCCGATGCTTGACCATGGGGACACACATATGGGTCATTCCTGCCTCGGCCCCTGGCGCCCTGAAGCTGGCTGGGTGGCCCTGCTGGGCTCAGCTGCACAGGACTGCATGCGGGGGAGGCGGTGGGTGAGGCTAGCGGGAGGCTGTGCTACTCCTGCTGCAAGACCCCACCGAACGCCTTTGTCTTGGCTGGGTCAATGGCCAAATCAGGCCCCCCCCCCCTGGGGGGGCGAGGTTCCCCCCTTAATTCCCCTGCTGCACACACAGCCCCCCCCCTTCCACACACCATCCCTTCCCGGGAGCGGGGAGCGCTGGGTCCCAGGCCTAGCCAGCCCCCAGCCTTTGGGGAGGGCTGCTGGGGGGGAGGGGGGTTGGGGCTGAGGCCTGACAAACTCATTTCCCAAGGCCACAGCAGCTTAGGCAGGATGGGAGCCAGCGCCTCCTACTGGGGAAAGGCCCCAAGTCCCATTCCCCTCCCCCCAGCCAGTCCCCCAGTGTCCCTGGGGCTGGATCAGAAGGGGCACCGAGAAAGGCCCCATACCCCATGCTCACCTGCTTTCATGTCCCCGTGGTGGCCCCCGGCGCTGGCCGACCCCGTGGCTAAACCTCGCCCCCGGGGCACCAGCGGGGCCAGTCTCCCCCACAGGCTCATGCTGGGCGGAAGCAGCGAGAGAAAACCAGGCAGCAACGTCTGAAACTGACACTCAGCCGTGACCTCCGTCCCTCCACCGTCTGCTCTTCTCTGGTGGCTGGGGGGCCTTCCCCAAGGGCCCCCACCCCGGGCTCATCTGACCCAGCGTGGCCAATGAGGCAGAAGCCAGCAGGACAAACATGCCCAGCTGGGGCTCGGTCCAAAATACTCTTGTCTCATCACGTGCCCCCAACGAGGTCTCTCTGAGCCTGGCCTGGTGCCCAACAATGTGCTTGGTGAGAGAGACAGCGAGAGATACAGAGAGACAAAGACACACACACGGACAGAGAGAGAGAGAGACAGCGAGAGACACACAGAGACAGCGAGAGACACAGAGAGAGACAGACACTCACACACAGACACAGAGACAGACACACACACACACACTCACAAACACAGAGACAGACAGAGAGACACAGAGACAGACAGAGAGAGAGACACACACACTCACAGACAGACAGAGCGAGACAGACACACACCCTGGCGAGCCAAAGGCTGTAAGGCAGTTGGGCCGTGTATTAGAGCAGAGGCTGATAGGTTTATTATCGAGAACATGAATTTGGTAGCGGGGTGAATGTTTTCGGCATGGGCTGTTTGTATAAACATTGCTCAAGGCTGGTGTCAATAACCCCCCATCGACCAGCAGAGGCAGCCTGATGGATTAGCAGCCAGGGACCTGCGGGCTCTTGGTAGCTGCATCTGTCCTGCCCGATTTGGTTCCTACCCATGGTTGAGTCTGACCAGCGTGGTGGTGGGAATGGTGTCCGGGTGTCCGGGTGGTGTGATCACTGTACGCGGCGGACTCTCGGAACAGTGACTCTTATCAGGAGCAAGGGGAGGGAACAGCCAGGAAATTCAGACAACAGGAATACACCCCACCACGGAACGTCCCGGCCTGTAAGGGCCAGGGTACCTCGCCGGGATCCTTTGCATGGCCTAGGAAACAGCACAACTCCCCCCGCCCACCGACATGGAGCCAGGGTGCCCGGACTGTGCCTAGGGGGGCAATAAACCCGGCTAAGTGCCCCCTAAGCTACATGGGCATGAAACTGCGCAGCTGCCTATTAAGCACAACACAGGCCTCTGTCAAATGTACCGATTGTGGGAAGAGCTTCAGCGTCAGCTCCAACCTCTTCCGGCACCAGCGCATCCACACTGGGGAGAAACCCTACACATGCTCTGACTGCGGGAAGAGCTTCACAGACAAGTCCACCTTGACCCAGCACCAGCGCATCCACACGGGCGAGCGGCCCAACACCTGCTCCGAGTGCGGCAAGAGCTTCACGCAGAGCTCCCACCTGATCCAGCACCAGCGCACCCACACCGGCGAGAAGCCCTACCAGTGCGGGGAGTGCGGCAAGGCCTTCAGCCAGAGCACCAACCTCATCAAGCACCAGCGCTCCCACACCGGCGAGAAGCCCTACCAGTGCGGGGAGTGCGGCAAGGCCTTCAGCCAGAGCACCAACCTCATCAAGCACCAGCGCTCCCACACCGGCGAGAAGCCCTACCAGTGCGGGGAGTGCGGCAAGGCCTTCAGCCAGAGCACCAACCTCATCAAGCACCAGCGCTCCCACACCGGCGAGAAGCCCTACCAGTGCGGGGAGTGCGGCAAGGCCTTCAGCCAGAGCACCAACCTCATCAAGCACCAGCGCTCCCACACCGGCGAGAAGCCCTACCAGTGCGGGGAGTGCGGCAAGGCCTTCAGCCAGAGCACCAACCTCATCAAGCACCAGCGCTCCCACACCGGCGAGAAGCCCTACCAGTGCGGGGAGTGCGGCAAGGCCTTCAGCCAGAGCACCAACCTCATCAAGCACCAGCGCTCCCACACCGGCGAGAAGCCCTACCAGTGCGGGGAGTGCGGCAAGGCCTTCAGCCAGAGCACCAACCTCATCAAGCACCAGCGCTCCCACACCGGCGAGAAGCCCTACCAGTGCGGGGAGTGCGGCAAGGCCTTCAGCCAGAGCACCAACCTCATCAAGCACCAGCGCTCCCACACCGGCGAGAAGCCCTACCAGTGCGGGGAGTGCGGCAAGGCCTTCAGCCAGAGCACCAACCTCATCAAGCACCAGCGCTCCCACACCGGCGAGAAGCCCTACCAGTGCGGGGACTGCAAGAAGAGCTTCTACCGCAGCTCCGACCTCATCCAGCACCAGATCACTCACACGGGCGAGCGCCCCTTCAAGTGCGCCCAGTGCGGCAAAGGCTTCACCCAGAGCGCCAACCTGGTGAAGCACCAGAAGATCCACGCCGGGGAGAAGCCCTTCCGCTGCACCGAGTGCGGGAAGACCTTCATCCAGAGCACCAACCTCATCAAGCACCAGCGCTCCCACACCGGCGAGAAGCCCTACCAGTGCGGGGACTGCAAGAAGAGCTTCTACCGCAGCTCCGACCTCATCCAGCACCAGATCACTCACACGGGCGAGCGCCCCTTCAAGTGCGCCCAGTGCGGCAAAGGCTTCACCCAGAGCGCCAACCTGGTGAAGCACCAGAAGATCCACGCCGGGGAGAAGCCCTTCCGCTGCACCGAGTGCGGGAAGACCTTCATCCAGAGCTCGGAGCTCATCCAGCACCAGCGCACCCACACCGGCGAGAAGCCCTACGAATGCCTGCAGTGCGGGAAGAGCTTCGGGCACAGCGCCACGCTGGCCAAGCACGGCAGGATCCACACGGGGGAGCGGCCCTACCCGTGCGAGGAGTGCGGGAAGAGCTTCTCGGAGAGCGCCAAGCTCCTGGAGCACCAGAGGATCCACACGGGCTTGAAACCCTACAAGTGCCCGAGCTGCGGGAAAGCCTTCTGCCACAGCTCCTCGCTGGCCAACCACCAGCGGGGGCACACGGGCGAGCGGCCCTACACGTGCGCCCACTGCGGAAAGGGCTTCAGCCAGAGCTCCACCCACACCCAGCGCCTGAGAACCCACACCGGCGAGCGGCCCTACACGTGCGCCCACTGCGGAAAGGGCTTCAGCCAGAGCTCCACCCACACCCAGCGCCTGAGAACCCACACCGGCGAGCGGCCCTACACGTGCGCCCACTGCGGAAAGGGCTTCAGCCAGAGCTCCACCCACACCCAGCACCTGAGAACCCACACCGGCGAGCGGCCCTACCAGTGCGGGGAGTGCGGGAAGAGCTTCAGCGTGAGCTCCAGCCTGGTGGTCCACCAGAGGAGCCACACGGGAGAGAGACCCTACCAGTGTCCCGACTGCGGGAAGAGCTTTAGTGGCTGGCCAAATTTTAGCCGGCATCTGCGGACCCACGCCCAGGAGTAAACCCGGGAGGTGATCTGATTCAGGGCAAGGTAACTGTGAATGCTCTGGGCTCTTTAGACACCAGGGAACCCCTGGAACAGAGAGACCCTACAAAAACCCCAACTGCAGCCAGAGCCTCTGCCTCAGCTTGGCACTTAGGGTCTGTCTGGGGCAACCCTACAAACGCTGCTGGCAGACTTTTAATTGCAGGACAAACCACTAATGTTCATCAGAGGATCCACAGCAGAGACCGGCCTGAGAAATACCGGGGCAGTAAGCGTGGTTCACAGCTCCGAGCAGGACTTGTGTCGTGGAGGAGGTGCGGGGCTTTGTGGTTAACGTGGGGAGGGTGGCGACCTGGTTTCTTTTCTACCTCTTGGTTTTGGACATGCCATTTTGTGGCCCTGGTGCAATCATCTGAGAGGTTAAAAATTCAACTTGACCATGAAATGGTTGGTTTGTTCTGAATGTAGCTGTTCAGACTGTGGTAAGGAAGGGGGAGGAGAATTAAGTGTGCCTGAGGCTCATCGTGTTCCTTTGGGGTCCTGTTCCTGTGCCCCATTGGTTAGGACTGTTGGGGTTAGCCGTGTCCGTGTGTCCAGGCGACACTACAGTGAGGTCACAGAATCCCAGGGCTGGAAGAGCCCAGCCCCCTGCTCAAACAGGACCAACCCAACTCAATCAGCCCAGCCAGGGCTTTGCCAAGCCAGGACTTCAAAACCTCTAGAGATGGAGATTCCACCTCTCCCTAGGGAACCCAGCCCAGCGCTTCCCCACCTGCCTAGGAAAATAGCTTTTCCTAATAACCAACCTAGACCTCCCCCCCTGTAACTTGAGACCATTGCTCCTTGTTCTGCCATCACTGAGAACAGCCTCTCTCCAGCCTCTTTGGAACCTCCCTTAAGGCAGCTGAAGGCTGCTCTCAAATCCCCCCTCGCTCTGCTCTTCTGCAGACTAAACAAACCCAAATCCCTCAGCCTCTCCTCATAGGTCATGTGCTCCAGCCACCTCATCACTTTGGTTGCCCTCTGCCGTCAACGTAAGCTGCCTCATATCAACCTAACCCTGTTAATGTCAACGGTCAGATGTAGTTCCCACCATGGGAAGTCTCCCCCTACACCAGTGCCCATGAGTGTAGCTACCTTTCAGAAACCATCCCCCGGTGCCCCACCCTGGCAGTTAAATCGGTGCGAGCCCTTCTGGTGAACACATGTGCAGCTGACACGAGGCGCGTAGTGTGCACGTGTGAAACCGATTCAGTTCCTGCAGTGGCTGTACATTGACATAACTTAGAGGAACTTAACTTTGTTGTGTAGATTGGCCCTGTGTCCAGCATCCCACACAGCTACCTCCTGCCTGGCCAGACCGGATCTGATGCACAAACGCCCTCACTAAGGGACAGGCGGGGAGGGGCGGGGGGTGTCTTACTTCTTGGAACACTGCCTCAGCTTTCTCCAGGCCAGACATGGAGAGGGGCCCTGTCCCAGGACACCCCATTCCGCTGCCTTTTCTCTGTGCCAAGCCCAGAGGCCTCAAGTCGCAGGCTGAGTTGCTGAAAAGCTAATGTCTGACAGGCGGGTAGGTTCCTCGCCTGACCGCTGAATACAATGCAAAGCAGTGACTGGCGTAAAGCCAACCCACTGGTACAGGCACCGCACCCGTGTCCTGCCCTGAGCCTGATCTGCAGCACTACCTGGATCGATGTACACCCCTCCCCCTTCGCCTTTCCAGAGCTAAGGAAAGAACCCAGGAGTCCTGGCTCCCCCGCTCCCTCAATCTCTAAACCCCACTGCCCAACAACTGGGGATAGGACCCAGGAGTCCTGCTCCCCACCCCACCCAACCTCTAGACCGCTCCAGAGCTCCCAATCCAACCCGGAGTGGCTAATATCTGTGGGCAGTCCTGGAGCTAGCTAGGGTTGTAGCACAGCTGCACAGCTCCCCCCCCCTTGCTTTCCCAGCAGCTGAGGGGACTCTCCATCCCAAGGGCAGTTTGGCTCCGATCCCCACCGTGCCACAACGCTTCCTCCAGGCAGCAATTTCCTCTGCTGCAGTTTCCCTCCTAGGGGCCTCCTTGCGGCTCCTCTGAGTCTGCCCCACGCCCAGCGCCCCCACTCAGTTCACTGTGGGGACTCGCCTCTGCGCACTGGGAGTGAGGCCAGGCAAGAGGCAGGGAGCAGGGCTGCAAGGCAGGCCCCTGCCCTGTTTACACCCCCTGCCAGCAGCGCTCTGGTGCTCATTGGTTTGAACCCTCTGAGGCCCCGGGGGCAGGGGGATTCCCTCCAGGGAAAGAACCAGGGAGCCCCACAGCTTCCTACCCGCACCACCACCGACCTCGCTCGCCAGGCCTACTGGTGCAATGGGCCCCGCTCGCCAGTGCGCTCAGCCTTCTCTCCTGAGCCAGGCAGAGCAGGTTCTTCACCTGCCCCTCGCTGTGCAGTCAGGGCGACGTCCCATCCTCACCTGGCCTAGCCCAGGCGCAGGCTGCCAGCGTCTGTCCTCCGAGCGCCAAACATCAGTCGCGGCAGGTCAGGCAGAGCACGATGTCACTGACAACGGCTGCGGGCTTGGTTCGGCGGCCAAGGCACGCGGCCAGGTTTATTGTCAGCGGAGCATGGCCTTCGTTCCCTCTTTATGGGTACCCTGACCCATCTGTGCTCATTGCCACGAGCCTGCTTAGTTCACCGCAGGATCTTCCATGGCCCCGTAGGCTGGACAAAGGGTTAAGGTGAAGTACCCGTATATTGATAGACTGAGCCAAACGACTTTTACACATCTTCTTACGTGCTCTGTGACATCTGTTTGCTCCCTCCCCTTCTCTGCTATCCTGGACAAAACATTGGTTCTTTTGTCAAAGGGCATTATCATGTGCTAGGTGGGAATGTGTTTGTACTGGAATCTGTTTATGTAAATGTCTAGCACCTCGTACACTAGCGACAGCTTGGCCCACTTCACGTTCTGAACAGCAAACCTGTAGGCATCTGCTTTCATACATGGCCTGACTTTGATCATAGCCTTTGTTTCATAACAGACTCCCTTGCTTTCTCTCTCCCTCCCCTCACTCCCACATCAGTCTCTGCAGCTCTAGCTGCAGCACTGGGTCTTAACTCTATCATGTGGCAGTGAGTTCCTCAGGGTCAATCTCCAGCGTAGGAATTTTTTTCCCCTTTGTAATCAGTATTAAAAGTAGTTTCGGATTTTTGCCTGAGGTGGGAGTTGGCTCAGAGCTGACAACTCAGTCCCTTTGTCACCCCATTTACAGAAACTTTGAAATGACTGAAGAATTCAGACAAAGGATGTTGGGAGCTGGTTGTTTCAGAAGTACTACAATCGCACTTTGAGGCCCTGACCCAGTATCAATGTGCTGGGTACTGCATAGATCAGCCAGGGGTGGGCAAATATTGGCCCCTGGGTAAGAACCGATCTACTAGGGTTAGCTCCTGACAGGCCCCCCACAACTATATTTACTTGCACAGCCACAGGTACCAGCTATTGCAGCTCCCATTGCCCATGGGTCACCATTCCCAGCCAATGGGAGCTGCAGGAAGCAGTGTTCCAGTCTGCACCACTTCCCACCTCACTCTCCAGCATATGGTACCTGCTCAGGTTGCTAACACATGGACACTGCTCCACACTGTGGCTGGTTTGCACTGGCACATCTTGCCCTAGCACAACAGCTAAGCATTCGAGCCCAGTGATGAATAGGGAGGTTGTGCCCCACACAGCAGTGTTGTGCAATGCGCCCGGAACATGAGGCCTGCCGCAAGGCCTGAGGCTGGAACCAAAGTCAGCAGAAGCTGTGCTGTGAGCAAATGCCAGGCCCTGTCAAAAGCAGACCCTTTCCTGACCCTTCCTTGTCTGGGACATGAGCTTGGCACAGACAGAGCTGGCATTGCTAAAACACCCGGAAATATATAAACACGTCCCAGCAGGCCAGCACAAGCACACCCCACCTCACAGCTGCTAAGATGGTTTGCCAGGAGTCATGAAGGGGGGATGACTTGTCTGAAACAGCAGGAGAAGGGTAAATCAGACGGAGGAGAAAATCAGGCATCGTAAATGGTAACACGCAAACCACTCAATCACAGATTTAATTTCACCGCTCAATTAGAGAGCTAGCGACTGCAGAACTGGAGTTCATTTGCGTGTTTGACACTGTATCCCTGGGCTGGAATAAAGATATTAACTGGTCAATGCACTACAAAGGCAATTTCTCCTGCCTTTGACATTCACATTTCACATCAATAGCTATGAAAGGGACACATCCAACCCATTTAATTCACTTCATTAACAAGGGTCCTACAAGTGACAAATAGCTGCTTTTGTAGTTATATAGCCCCTGGATTCTGTATTTCCATTTCAACTCAACTGATGAAGTCAGTTTTGCACACGAAAACTCACGAAAATCATACCTTTGTTCCTCTCCAAGGGGCCACCCTACTCGCCTTTTTTAAAGTTACAGACTAACTACTCTCAGAGCACTTTAGGAGACAGGAAATGTGACCTGATCACAGACAAGTAGATGTGGAGAAATTGGAAAGGGTACAGAGAAGAGCGACAAGAATGATTAAAGGTTTAGAGAACATGCCCTATGAAGCCAGGCTTCATGAACTGGGCTTGTTTAGTTTGGAAAAAAGAAGATTAAGGGGGGACATGATAGCGGTATTCAAATATCTAAATGGGTGTCACAAGGAGGAAGGAGAAAATTTGTTCCTCTTGGTTTCTGAGGACAGGACAAGGAGTAATGGGCTTAAAGTGCAGCAGGGGAGGTTTAGATTGGACATTAGGAAAAAATTCCTAACTGTCAGGGTGGTCAAATATTGGAATAAATTGCCAAGGGAGGTGGTGGAATCTCCCTCTCTGGAGATATTTAAGAACAGGTTAGATAGACATCTGTCAGGGATGGTGTAGACGGAGCTTGGTCCTGCCTTGAGGGCGGGGGGCTGGACTCGATGCCCTCTTGAGGTCCCTTCCAGTCCTATTATTCTATGATTCTATGATTCTCTCTCTGCTCTAACCCCCCAGCCTCCACTTCCTCCCAGAGCAGGGACAAGAGACCTGGCTCCCAGCTCTAACCACTAGCCCATGCTCTCGCTATCCCAGCACGGTCACTCTGGTACCTGGCGCTGGACAAATCCCTCCATCTTGGTGTATTTTTTCTCCTCGTATTCAATCCGGGCCTCGCTCACCAGGGTCACTTTCTGCTGCAGAGTCTGGAACAGAGAAACTCCCTGTCCCTGACCAGAAATGACACTGACCGGCCCAGAGCGTCACCCCAGGGGTCCCAGAGCAATCGACAGGCTGGTCGTACAGGAGCAATCCCTGGCCCTGAGATGCAGCCACCTCTGGGGAGGCCACCGCGACTGTTCACGAGGGGGGATCACTCACCTGGCCGGAAGGCAGAGGCAGCTCTCGTACCTGGGAGACCCACTGGAAGCCGACGTTCCCTTTGATCATGAACTCCAGTGGCTGCTGTATTTCCAGGGAGGTGATTGTGCACCGGATCTTCTTACAGGTGGCCACGGAGCAGTCCTGGGGCGGAAGGATATCGCCGGGTGAGGGTCACCATTATGAATCACTGTTTTCATAAGAACTTGTTCAAATTCCAAAGATCTAATATGAGGGCCGCAAGCCAGTCATCGCAATCCAATGCGGGTATTATTGAAGCAAGGGTCACCATTTTGAATAATTGTTTTCATAAGAACTTGTTCAAATTCCAAAGATCTAATATAGGTCGCCAACTGCCCGACTTCTTTTGAGTGAGAAAATAATGGAAATAGAAGCCCCTGCCTTTGAACTCTTCTGGGACTGGCTCTATTGCACCTGTGGGGAGTAGGTGGTTGACTTCAGTGCATAGCAGGGTCTCATGAGATGGGTCCCTGAAGAGGGACAGGGTGGGGGTGGAGTGGGGGGGTATGGTAACGAAGGGTATGAAGTATCCAGATTGAACTATTTCCAACACCCATTTGTCTGAGGTGATTGAGGCCCGTTGGTGGAAAAGGGACTCAGGAGGTGATGGAATTGGTGTGTGTGGTGACTCTTGTCAACGTGGGAGACTGTCTGCATAACCTCGACTGAGGCGTCAAACCTGCTGTTTGTTATTCGGTGGGGTCTGAGTACGATTGTCGGTGCCGCTTTCACCGGTCTTTTCAGTTTTGGCACCACTGGAGACTTGGGGCGCAGTTTTGCGGTGACGGATGTACCAGGCTTGTCTTCCGAGTTAACTCTGCTCTGTGAGATAGCAGCTAGAGACCTAGTAGGTGACGCCCTAGGTCTTTTGGCCGGTGCTGCCATAGAGGAAGATGCCCTACGCTTCAGAGGCTGGCTTGAAGAGGCCGCGCTGTCAGAGGTTTCCAGCTGAAGCGCTTTATCAAACAAGATCCTCTGGAGCCTCATTTCTCTGTCCCGTCTGGCCGTGGCAGTCAGATTTGTGCAATGTAGGTACTATTGAGGGACGTAGGTTTCTCCAAGGCAGCGGATACAGGAGGAATGGCCGTCCAAGGTGGGCGTTGCCTCGCGGCAAGTGTCGCACTTTTAAAGCCAGAGGAAAATAGCATTTCGTATCAATAGTTACGCATTAATTAAGGGTTTTTTTTATTTTTTTTATTTTAAAGATATCAACAGAGACCAACTACATACCTATATAACTATTTACAATAATAACTATACGAACTTGAGGAAGGGCATACGAGCAGAGGAAAGAACCTGGTTATTATTAAAATATTTTTTTATAACTAGGAAGAATGTGGGAAGAAAAAGGATGTAAGAAGAATAACTATCCGCAGAACAATCTCACGATTGAGGAAGCAAAGAGAGAGGTTGAGGAGACCAGTTCACACCATCTGCAGCCCAAGGCTGTTGAGAGGAACTGGCAGGGGCCGGACTGTGCGAACACACAAAAAAGCACAAATACCGCAAGACACCGCCATTCATGCACGGTCTAAACTGGAAAGCGCCTCTCAACCTGACCAACAGGAGTTTCCGCTCTTCTATAAAGTCACACATTGGCCCAGTGACAACCCAGCCTCAGTTTGTTTCCCTAACCAGATGGGAACTGTCCCCTCCCCCCACACACAGTCTCTAGACATGGCCTCAGATACACTCTAGTTCTCTACCAGCTGCGGCTCACCCCGACGGCATAGCGAATGATCCCAGCTCTCTCCACCTCCGGAATAACGTCTGAATAAGAAAGTGGGTCTTCGTTTTTCTGCCCATCTGTGATCACAATGAGAACCTTGGTGGCCTCCTCCCGAGCGCCGCTCTCAGAGGTGAACAGCTCCCGCCTGGAAAAGCGGTGGAGGTGGGGAACACATGGCAGGGTGAGTGATACATAACCACTAGCTCCCATCCACTGCCTTGGCATTCCCAATAGCAAAGTCCTTCATAAGAGAGGTCAGTGACATTGTCTCCATGTTGTAATTGGGGAAACTGAGGCAGAGAGCATGGCTGTGACTTGCTTAAAGTCACACAGCAACAGAGGCTCAGGGCTGGCCATAGATCCCTGGAGTCCTTGCTCCTGGCTCTGCTCTAACCTACTAGTGCCCACCCACCTCCCAGAGTTAGGGACAGAGCCCAGGGGTCCTGATGCCCAGCTCTCTCCCTCCCCTCAGTACTACTAGTCCCCAGTCCGTCCCACAGCTGGGGAAAGAGCCCAGGAGCGTTGAGACCCTTTATCTAGCTTGCGGGCCCTGTCAGCCCTTTCCCTGTGGAGCCCACACAGGGAGGGCGTGATACCTACACCACTTTCCGGATGGCGCTGGCCGTGTGCGTTGTTCCGTGAATCTTCTCAATTCCTTGGACAAGGACGTTGAGGTCACGATTTCTCCTGTACTCCGTGAAGTTGAAGTGCTCTTTAAATTTATTGGAGTACTGCATGAGCGCGAACTGCAAGGAGAGGCCGGGGAAAGAGAGAAACAGCCCGAGGGGCGAAGGGTTAGAGAAGCTGGAATCAGACTCAGTTAAGGGCTGGGACAGACATTTGGGGGTAGTTGGTTCAGTGGGAATTTCTTTCTGGTTTTGGATGTAAAATCCATTGCTGCTCTGGGGCACTGGGCCAGGGCCAGGGTAAATAGGCAGGTTTCGCCTCTGCCTGTTACCTGCGTGTCGGTGCTACGGAAACTCTTCATGATCTCAGAGAGAAACGTCTTCATCTTTGCAAAGTCCCCGGGTAGGATGCTGCTCGAGCCGTCGATGAGGAGTACGGAAACTCTTCATGATCTCAGAGAGAAACGTCTTCATCTTTGCAAAGTCCCCGGGTAGGATGCTGCTCGAGCCGTCGATGAGGAGCGCGATGTCTGCGTTGAGTCTGAAGCACTCTGAGGTGACAGGGAAGACGTGCGTCCTGACTCACCACCACAGGGACTGAGAAAACCCCTCGGATAGACCTAGACCAGAGCCATGGGCCCATCCACACGCACCCCGCCATCCACCTCGATCAGACCAATGGCCCCTCTGTTGCAGTGTCATCCCCTCCCTGCAATGAGGGGCACTGACAGAAGAACATGGAGGGAAAAATGCACCCATCTCCAATCGGCCCCTCTAGGCTGGTATCTGACCCCCTATCAGACACAGGGGCCCATCTAGACCCATCTTCCCTCCAGCTCCTCTTGCCTGGGCACCCACCCATACCCCAGGGCGTGAGTACCCCCCACCCACCCTGGTTTAACTCCTCACCTGGCTGGGTGCCTGGGCTGTGCTGCAGTTTCCGGAGGGTCTGGTGCAGAAGGAAGCAGGAGTCATTAATTGCCTCCCCCATCTCCTGCCCAGGGCGGGATTAACGCAGGCAGCAGGGCCGACAGCCACCATGGGCCCCTGGGGCAAGGTGTGTGTCTGGGGGTGGGGGGTGGGCTCCACACCCCCAGAGGGGACAGGGCCTCAGGTAGATGGAGCTGACCAGCAGCTGCCAGAGCCCAGACTCCTTAGAATCACCAGGCCCTGGGGCAGTTCCCCTCTTTGCCCCCCGTCCGCCGGCCTGAACACAGGGGCTTTGGGGCTGCAGCCGTGGGTGCAGGTGCCACAGGCAAGGGAAGGCATCGCCTTCCCACAGGTGCCTACGCTCTCCAGCAGGGCTGGGCTGTGGCGTGGCAGCCCCGCCCTCCGACTGGCCTGGAAGCATCCGGCTTCAGGGCTGGGGTTGGGGTTTGGTCACTGTCACTCTGGCGACAACCCAGTTACAACACTTCCTGCTGCGCTAGGTCACAATCACAGTTACCATGGCAACATCGGACACTTGCCTCCATCCCTCACAAGCGGGGTGGCAGCAGGGGTCCCCCCCATTCACCACGGCAGGAAGCAGAGCCCCCTGGGGCCGGGGGAGGGTGGTGGGGTGGCATGGAGCAGGCTGCTGGGTCGCTCCGGCTCCTGCTGCCACAGTCAGTGCAGGGGGGAGGCAGAGGGACCCTGCTGCTGCCCCACTCCAGACCTGTCCACAGGATGGTTGAGGCCCCACCATGAGGCCCCCAAAGCCTGGGGCCTGAGCAGCCATGCTGAACCTAAAATCTAAAATGTCACAGTATTGAAATTGTAGTTGCCCTGACCCAAAAAAGGAGACCCTGCTGCTGCCCCACTCCAGGCCTGTCCACTGGATGGTTGAGGCCCCACCGTGAGTTGAGCGGCCACTCTGAGCCACCCACAGACATCACCCAGTAGTCACCTCTGCACCACTGCTCCAGCCACGCTAACACTGCCCAGTTACCACCATCTGTGAGCAGTGGCCTCTGGGGGGACCCGGGTCCCAGTACCCACCTCCCCTGGGCGTGGTACCTACCAGGGGTTGGGGGCCTCGAGCATCTGGAGACAAACCGAGGGACGTGTTCATGGCATCAGCAGGCCCTGAGGAAGGAGAGAGGTGAGCAAATCAACCCCACTCCTGTCCCAGCGCGGAGGATAGGCCGGAGAACGCCTAACACCCAGCTCTGACCACTGGGACACACCACCCCAGCTGGGCCTAGGATCCAGAAGTCCAGGCTCCCCTCCCAATCCTGCACCCTCCACTCTAGACCCCACTCCCCTCCCAGAGCTGGGGACAGAACCCATGGGTCCTGGCTCCCACCCCCGTCCTATTGCTGCACCCACAGCACAGGGTCCTACTCTGGGTGGGGCTCTTCTGGCAGCACACGGAGCCTGGGTCACATGTGTAGAATTTGCTGGTTACATTCTCATCTCCCATCTGCTGCAGGTCCTCGACACTCAGCCTGTGGGGAGAAAACAGGGAGTGTCGGGGATGCCCCATCACACCCAGGGGAGTGGGGCCCAGGTGGGGCAGCCCAGCTAAACAGGACCCTTAGCATTGGGCTCCAGTCATGTGGGGTCCCATATTCGGCCCTTACCTTCCAGAGCAGGTGCTCCCGAACTGCACCATGCTCTGTGTGAACCCCACACCTGACACCTGGAAGATGGTGGGTCCCTCCACGTCCATGCTGCATCCACGGCTGGGGGCCAGCACTGCAGGGGTTAAACAGTCTCCAGTTAGAGCTTCCCCTGTGGAGGACAGGCGAGTGACTGAGAGCTGGGGGTTGGGATGTGGGGGGCTCAGGGCAGGAGGTTGGGGTGAGTATGAAGGGGAGCAGGAGTCAAGACAAAGCATTGGCTGGGGGAGACTCAGGGACTGCGGTGTAGGGGTGCAGGGGTCGGGGTGGGGTGGGGCTCAAGGCAGGTGATGGGGACATGGAGAGGTGCAGGGGACAGGGCAGGGGGTGCATGTGTGAGGTTAAGGAGTTTGGGGGGGGGGGCTGAAGCTACTTGCTGTTCTCCCTCCAGTCCCTGTCAAGGAGCGAGAGCAAAGTGCCCAGCTCATCTGCCCCATTCCCTCCCCAGCCAAAGTGAGCCATGCAGCAAATTGGGCACTTTCCCCTCGCTCCCTGACAGTGATGAAGGGGAACAGCCAGTAACATCTTTGAATGAAACTGGAGGGGTGGGGGAGTTTCAGCCCCCTTGGTCTTCCTAAAAGGCTCCTGGTAAGTTGGCTTAGAACTGGGTCAGTCCCAGATGGTTTCACCTGCCTGGCTGCAGGCTGCTCAGTGTGACAGCTGGTAGCTGATCCCCAGGGGCCAGGCTGGGAGCACTCGCTGCCTCCTTCTGAAGCCAAGCGCCCCAGCCAGCCGGCTCCTTCTAGCCACAGCAGCACACTGGGGTGCACCAGCTCATTTTCACCTCTGGTTCGGTCTCTTTCAACAGTAAGAACATAAGAATGGCCAGACTGGGTCAGACCAACGGTCCATCTAGCCCAGTATCCTGTCTGCAACAGTGGCCAATGCCAGATGCCCCAGAGGGAGGGAACACAACAGGAAATCCTCATGTGATCCCTCCCCTGTCTCCCACCTACAGAGAAACAGAGGCTGGGGACACCATTCCTACCCATCCTGGCTAATAGCCATTGACGGACCTAACCTCCATGAATCCATCTAGCTCTTTTTTGAATCCTGTGACAGTCCTAGTCTTCACCACATCCTCTGGCAAGGAGTTCCACAGATTTACTGTGTGCTGAGTGAAGAAAAACTTCCTTTTGTTTGTTTTAAACTTGCTGCTTATTCATTTTTTGTGCCCCCTAGTTCTAATATTGCAGAAATAAGTAAATAACTCTTCCTTATTCACTTTTTCTACACCAGTCTTGATTTTATAGACCGTTATCATATCCCCCTCCTTAGTCTCCTCTATTCTAAGCTGAAAAGTCCAAGTCTTTTTAATCTTTCTTCATATGGGACCCGTTCCAAAGGCTTTTGGAACCTTTTCCAATGCCAATATATCTTTTTTGAGATGAGGCAACCACATCTGCATACCGTATTCAAGTTGTGGGCGTACCATGGATTTATGTAGAGGCAATAAGATATATTCTGTCTTATTCTCTATCCCTTTTTTAATGATTCCTAACATAGTTTGCTTTTTTGACTGCGGCTGTACACTGAATGGATGTTTCCAGAGGACTATCCACAATGACTCCAAGAGCTCTCTCTTGAGTAGTTGTAGTCAAATTAGTCTTCATCATATTGCATTGATTATATTTTCCAATGTGCTTTACTTTACATTTATCAACATTACATTTCATTTGCCATTTTGTTGCCCAATCACTTAGTTTGGTGAGATCTTTTTGGAGTTCTTCACAGTCTGCTTTGGTCTTAACTATCTTGAGCAGTTTGGTATTATCTGCAAATTTTGTCACCTCACTGTTTACCCCTTTCTCTAGATCATTTACAAATAAGTTGAATAGGATGGGTCCCAGGATAGACCGTTGGGGGACCCCACTAGCTACCTCTCTCCACTCGGAAAACTGACCATTTATTCCTACCCTTTATTTCCTGTCTTTTAATCAGTCATCAATCCAGTTATCAACTAGCCGCTGAGTTATGTCAGTTCTGAGGGCTTTGCTTGCTTTGGTGATTCTCTCTCTTCTCTTTGGTTTTATGAGAAGCATTCCCATTCCCATTTTCCTGCCACAACCAAACCCTGAGCTTCCATTACGTTACGAGAAGAGGAAGCTGTCGACCAAACTTGGGGGGAGTTCTTGATCAAACAACAGACAAACTCTCCAAAATACATTGTAGAATCAATTTAGAAATTTTGTTGTTTTTTATTTGGCAGTACAAACATAACCTAATACAAATATTAAGGGAGTGATTAGCATGACCACAGGATGTAACATTAAATGTGGAAAAGCTGTAAATTGGGAGGCATTTTTTAAAAAGAGTAGACCATTAAACATTAAACATTTAAAAATATACTTGACAATTGTGGACTAGAATGTTTACTTTTTTTTAACAGAGCAGCTTCAGCTGTTCTTCCCTTTGTTATGTCATTAATCATTTGTCTCCGTTGTCTTTGGCTTTCGTCCTCAGTTCCAAAGAAACAATCTTGGCCAGGTGGCTGTAATCCAAACAGTGCAAATTCCTCTCATTCTTATCCCTTTGTATAGCAGCCCCTTTACTGTGTTTCCTGATCTACTGAGTCATTATTTTCCAAAGAATATAACAAAGTGGTTTGATAAAATAGCTTTTGACTGCTTAACCTTATATTCTTGCTTTGCCAAATCATAGGTCATGCACTCAGGTTCAGCCACATAATAGCCACACTAGCCCCCATGGCCTGCAGCACATTGCACAAATATCCAGAGCTAGAGACATTTCTACAAGGGAATCACCACAATCTCAGTACATTGTTCCTGTGGGTGATTGCTCTCACTGGTTAAAAATGTCCATTG